ACTGGCGATCCATGGTAAAATAAAACCAGGGCGACGCTGCTACAGTCGTAAGCAAGAAAACCGAATTTGCTCTTGAAGTTCCTGAACTACTGGGCTCTCCTGATAACGAAGCGCAGAAACATGTCCGAGAGCAGTGGTGCTACATCCGCGAAGCACTCCCTCTGAACCACGTTATCGTTAAATCACTAAGGAAAATTCCTTCTTCTCCAAAATATAAGGGATGCAGTCTAAAATATCGAAATTCTTGCTACACCCTGATGGGATGACAGAAGTCTTATTGGAGAGCTGGTTGCAGCATCGCTGCAGGTTGCCTACACATATAAACCTAAAGATAGGAGGCACAGGAACACTATTTGTCAGCACTTCATTGAAACATGCAACTTCAATAAAATATTTGCCTCTAAAATCCTGCAGAGTTTTAGCCAATATGGCATTAACCACAGCTCACGGGACCGTGAGACACACGAGAGAACCTCTTGATTTGGATGCTCTGTGCTACGATGCAGCCTGCCTGAAATTCAACAAACAATGTCCCATGCAAAAGACGCTTAGCGTCAGACAGACAGACGGTCCGCTTAAAACTAAGCACGAATTTGTTGTCTACCCACACACTTCTAACATTAAAAAACACTGTCATGTTTGCAAATTAACGTGCAAGGTCGTTTTAGTAAGTTGGCCGAACTTAGAGAACGCCAGGCGTCACAACTGCGGGATCTCAGTATGATTCCGGAGACCACATTAAGCCTTGAGATACCAGATTCTGAAGTTAATTTACTTGGTATCTCACTGCTTCGGAATGACAGAGATGGAAGAGGTGCTGGCATAATTCTGTATTAAAAGATTAAACTCCGTTGTGAACTTATTGATTGCCGAGAGATCCGTGCTTCAGACTCACTTTGGTGCCGGCTATGGTTGCGGAACAAAGACACATGCCTTATAGCTGTGATTTACCGTCCACCAAACTCTACGTGTGAAACGGACTCCAATCTAAACCCCTCTCTTCAGGTTGCTATGATCAAGATATACAGTCACATTCTCATCGCAGGCGACTTTAATGTGAGGGATCTACAAATAACCTCGACCGATAACATGCAGCTCAAAGCCTGTTTACATGAGATACTTTCCAGCTATCCTATGTACAACCACGTGACCTCACCCACCAGATTCCGAGTTGTTAACACGCTGTCGATACTTGCTCTTGTACACACCAACGAAGAACTCATGGTGGACGGAATAAGTGCAAGCACATCACAGGGTCCTAGTGACTATGTGACTCTACCGTCTATGTATGTTATGCGGAATATCCCGAGCAAGAGAATGATAACGGGTATACGGTCATGCAACACAACGTGTTATCCTCGCTTGTTAAGGAGGTATCTTGGACCTTCTTAACTGAATGCCCCACAGAAATCGCCTGGTCTCGATAACATTCGACTGAAGGCTTTACCGTTAGCGGCCAGTGATCTGGCGGACGCTCTGGCTATATTCTATCAGCGTTGTATCGAGGAGAACCATATTCCAAATATATGGAAGCGATGGGTCATCACTACTATTCAGAAGGGAGGTAGTCGCATTGACCCAAACAATTACCTTCCTATAACGCTACTCCCTGTGTTTTTTAAGTTATGGAGTCTACATTGCTAGTACACTTATGCACTTTCGGGAAAATTACTAGATGATAGCACCGTATTCGCCTCCATTAACTTCAGCTCTTTGACGATGGTGACCCACTGTTGCGTTGGATAGGCAATTTCTTGCACGATCTTCAGTTGGACGTGAGAGTACGAGAATCCCTGTTCGACGTAATTGGGTGCAGTGCGGCATACCACAAGACTGGTTGCTCGGGCCCCGTCTATTCTTAATTTGCATAGACGATCTGGTGAAGAAAAGTATTTCCGATTTCCTACTCTTCGAGGATGATATCAACTTATGGCGAGCGATCAAAGAACCGAACGACGACGAAAAGCTCCAGCGTCGCCTTAACACGATTTCAAACTGGTCAGTTCTGAATACAGTACCGTTCCGTGTGTAAAAATGTCACGCCAATCAATTGCGCCCCAGACATAACTACGTGTATAGGGTTGGGTCGCATGTATTGCAAACAACTCCCCAAGAACGCAACATTGGTGTGCTCATTCAAATGAGCTTAACGGTTCACAGCAGCCACAGGCAGCTGCAAAGAGATCCAAACAGCACGTCGGTTTGCTGCAGAGAGCATCCTGAAAAATTGACTCACTATCTTCCCCATGATGCACAGTTGTTACTTGCGCCCTCACATCGAATACGCCATCTAAGCTTGCCAATTTTGGTCGAAGCGCGACTTAGAAATGCTAGAGAAACCACAATGTAGGGCCACAAAGAACGTCAAGGGTCTGCGAAATCTGTCTTACCATCAAAGCCTGAAGTCACTGGGAGTTTTCAGCGACCGCTACCGAAAGCTGAGCGGCGGTCTCATGTTAGTCTATCAAATATTGTGTGACCCAATTCACGTATGCCGTCACTTACTGAAACTCAGCCATAACACAAAGCTCAGAGGAAACCATCTGAAATTGTGTGCACAATGTAGCCGCCAACATTGCCGGCGGAATTATTCTTCTCCTTGGGTTTACCAAGCTTTAAACTCTCCCTCAAACTTCGTTGTTTCTTCCCCCAATTTGGATATCTTCAAAAAGCGATTGGATCTTTCCCTTGACCCCATCACTTCGTTGTCTAAACTGTGCTTCTATGGAATATATTAAGTATCCCTTCAAGCGAGATGAATTTGTCACAAAACCTGAGGAGGTGGTCCAGAAGTGGGCATTCTCGCTACTACTGTTCTCACGGTGTACAACAACTATAAGTGTCCCCATGTTGCCTCGTCGTCCGCATTCAATTCCAACTTACACTACTATTATGCAGCAGTGTATCTACTAGATAAACTCTCAAACAACAACTCATCTATCTTTTGATAACTGTATTTTTTACCCCTACCATCCTGCGGGAGTTTTCAAACAATTACCTTTTACCCGTCATAAATCATTGTTCATTTTTCAAATAAAAATCATACCGAAATCATTATACTCACTAATTATAATTTACAGAATTCATGCTTGATTGCATCCAAATGCAACCGAATGGATATCAGAACCGCAAGTTGCGACTGAAAAAATATGTTTTGACACGTACTAGGAATATGAAGCTGGAATGTAACAGCGCACCTAGTCAAAAACGAACCGCGTGGCCATGAGTTCAGCATTCTTGCAGCTGGTATTGACTGCTTTCAATATCAACTTGCAGGAAGGACGTTTGAGTGAGTACGTTTGCTGACCGGTTATTCCACTGTTCTACTTCGCAATGTTTCTTTCTTTTCCTACAACATTAGAAAACCTGTAGAACCACTAAAGCTAGGAGTGATTAACAATGTACAAAATGTATAGATTATTGCGGTGCGTGCAGAGGCTGCATGCAGGAGGTCAAATACCTAATGGTTGCGGAGCATCCTTAAACCTCACTCACTCTGGCTGCTATTGTTCTGGTAACCTTAATATGCGAGCCCTTAGCCAAAAATAGAAAACTTGCTCCGTGTCTGTCGGGTTTCGGAGTAGGCGCCGTTTGTCTTTGATTCTGACACGTAATCTTACGAGTGTAGCCTCGGTTGACGACTTTGCATTCAACCTATGCTGTACCGAGCACCGTGAAGGTATCCAAAGTGATGGGTTTCTGTACCTCTCCCTACAATCACTGCCCTCCACGAAAATAAATCGCCAGCTGTACGCCGTAACGGCAATTCGCTGCCAAGCAACCACCACCAGTCGCGCGTGGGCTGAGTACACCACGACGACGCCAGCCCCTACGCGGGTTCGAACCGTTGACCTTATGGTTGCAAACCAGACTCGCATGCCACTCGGCCACCGACCGACGCTCTCCACGATGGACCGGTTTCGTACTTCTTTGGACTAGTCAGCTAGAGATAGCTTGACTTGCTATTTGTTCTCGGCCCATAATGACTGACTGTTATCGCTATGAACACTTGGTCCTTGTGCTCAGGTAATCACTACCTTATGAGTCCAAGCAATAAAGCAATGCGGCTTGCAGCGCAGTGATGGAAAGTGGAAAAGTTGAATAGTCTGATCATCGTAAACGTTAGTAAAGTCCTAGAGAAAGGAAACCAAATTCTGTGAGCCATTTAGCAATTATAATGTTTATAACCCGGTCTGATCTTTAGCGATAAAGTCAGTACGCACGCAACTCTGTGTGTTAACCTTTAACTTTTCTCGACAGTTTAGAGACGGCACACGAACCATGGAAGTAGGTCAACAGCTGTCCAGCTGGTGCCAGTTGTGCCGACTTCAACCAAAGAACATTGATTTCATGAGATTCCATTGGCCTTTTTGTTCCCCAGTAGCGAACAGAGCTTTAACATAGCCCACTTTCAGTCCATAAAATCCAGAGCAGCGTATCTGGCTAAATTCTCCTAACCCGTATACTCCGTTACACGCTCGAGTAGTATTGCGTCACATGCAATTATTTGTAATATTTCGTATCAAATGCAGTTAACTGTCCATCTTACTCATCTCCACTACCGTTAACTTTGAGTAAACTGTTTGTTTCGGCATAATATGAACCACATGCCATAGTTATCACGTGCAGACCTAAGCAACAACAACGGAATGTACTGGTTTTCGTCCAGCCACGTGGTCAAGCATGCAGCTGCCGCTGCTATAGCAGCGTTTGTTACCCCTTGTCCGCTCCTCTCCCCCAGGTCATGCTACGTGACACAACTATCGGAAGACTTGGGACCGTTTTACCTGATCTACATCTGTGTCAGCTATTCGGTACGTGTTGAGTGCCGCAGTAAACACTAGTATGGAGTTCGCTTGATAGTGTATGTCAGTGGGGGACAGTTGAATCAAGCATTCCTGAATCTTTTACATAGTGTGAATGCAGTGAGAGTATTATCACGTGATATAACATTACTGTACGATAAAATGAAGCTGTGTGGAGACCAAATGTAAACTTACGCGTGTCTTTTGATAAATTATTTGCGTTCCTCAGTGAGGAGTGAGGATCATACGCTTTTCGCCTTTGCAAACCGAGCAAAGCGTTCATCTTGGCAGTGTTAGTTGCGACCACGTTGTCTTTCTTCCCCGAAATTGACGCTGCCTTTTCAGGGGCGCTTAACTTTTGCGAATCGGAACTGAAACCCGAAACAGAATGTTAATCATGAGAAGGGTTTAACAGCTACTGTTTTTGGCTAGGTGTTTAAGATAGGTGTTAAGATAGGTGTTTAAAATGTGAATGACACGGAAAGGAATGACTACCAGGTGATTACACATGCGTTAACTGAACACTAGCAACCAGCAGCATCCTAGTTGGCTTTTCTTAATGATTAAGCTGGACCCAACGATTACAGTACCTCTTTCTACTGACAGTTGAATGATCAGCACATCAGTTGATCAGTGGTAATCAGAACAGCGATGCATCGCCAGCCAATATTTACTAATCTTGAGGGTTTCTATATGTAGACAGATTTACAGCTAGACTCAGTCAAACAGCCAATACACGCTCGAAAAAGCCCCATAAGCCGGTTCCCCCTTTCGGGTTTCGTCGACGGTACACACTCCGTCGGACCCATGTGTGGCTCGAACCCGCGACTAGATTATTGCCATTCTGTGTTTGAGACAACTGAACTAAAGGGGACGCTAATGACCGTCTTGACAAAGTTACTATATAAGTGATGTACTACTGCACACTCTCCATTAATCTGCATATTACCGTAGTGCAAAGAAAAAGACAGGCCCCTCATCAAGTGACAACTTACCAACTTTAGGCATTATAAGCCTAGCTGAGAAGCACTTCTGATTATCACATTCGACACCCCTCACTACTTACTTGTATTCAGTATGCAAACCTAACTGTTTATAATGCCCATAGTTAATTTACCGCTTGAGATTGGTACGTTTGTCACTTAGTGAGTTTCTACTCTGTCATTTACACGGCAGTAACTTACAAGTCAGTGGCAGGTGTGAGGCGCTATAGCACATATACGAACTTAGTCGTTGGTCATTACTCTCACCTTTAGCTCGGTAGTTTCCACCACAGCTTGGCAACAGCCGAGTTGCAGATTCGACGCTCACAGGGGTCAGCAAAAATGAACACTGTTGAGAATTTCCCAAAGGATGAAACCGCTTATAGTGCTTTTCCGAGCGTGAGATGGCTGTCTGCCTAAGTCCAGCTGTGCTGGATTTCTTCACATACCGGTCAGCTCTCATACTACTTACATTGAATCAAATTCTAATTAGGTAAGAAACGAAATTAGGGATTACTTTACCTGAGATTATCGCGCTTTAACTAAAGATGACCGCATTAAATACACCAAACGAAAGTCAAGTAAAGTCACGTGAAGAGACAACATAAGCCCACTGCTCAGCGTCACTGCCAGGCATTTTACTGAAGTGGAAGATGTCAGACATTCACCGTCAATGCAAAGTTGTGGAGACTGTGTCAGGAATTTCTGGTAAGGATTTTCTTTGAATAGCGTAAAAAAGACATTCTTGCATTCTGAGTTGTTTACTGGTAGGGAACGGGATTTGGACCAAGCTGTGAGGTTGACCAATAGGGTTTGTAACTTGGGGGTTGAATCTATGCTTGGATGATGGACGCCAAGTATTACATCGTTCGCATACTTTAGTAAAATGTTTTCTTCAGGGACAGGTATTGAGATAACGTAGGTGGAAAACAAGAAAACGGACAAAATACCTCTTTGAAGAATACCAGAGTTCGTGGCGATTGAAGAAGTTTTTCCCATTAAGCTGGTAATTTGGGTACTGCTGGTAAAATAATCTTTCAACAGAAGAACAACGGTAGTTTGGACTTCGGAAGTTCACAGATTGCTCAAAAATATTTCACGGTTCACTCAGCCGAAAGCTTTGCTAACATGCAGGAAGCAGATGCGAATGGATTTATTTTTATTATCTCTTGATGGGAACACAGTATGTGCCAAGCATGCTGCCTTATCTAACGTGGACCTTGAGCTGCGATATGCAAACGGATGTGGGTCATCCAACTAGCTCTGTGCTGAGATCATTACGAATGTCTTAAGGATAACCGACGTGCAAGCGATCGACCGATATTTGCAGGTTCCTTTCTTTGGCACTGGGGGGATGCTTGCGCTTCGCAAAATGTCAGCTCTCTTGTGCTGCTTGAAGCACAGCCTGTACCAGTCGGCGAGGGGCTCCGCCAGGTAATCTACCCACTTCTTGAGAACCACAGGAGACAACTTATCCGGACCAGGTGCTTGGTTCAGCTACAGCCAGATTACTTATCTGTGTACTTCTAGGCAGTTTACAAAAGGAGGGTTATCTGAGGCTAGCTGTAACCCAGTAGCTGAAATATCAAAGTGTGAAGTATTACCCTTGTCACAAAAATTGAGGTTTAGTTTTCCACATCAGAAGTTAAGTGCCTAACCTCGCGGGTGACCCCGCTTAACTATTTCAACATCGTCCATATTTCATGATAATTGTTGTTTCCAAGTATGGCTTGAAGGTAGATGGCAATGAGTCGGCATAACTCGAGCTTTATATCAATACAAAACATTCACCGTTTATCTTTCGTGTTCCAAGAACAGTGTAACACTACTATTAATGGCGATGCAGCATGCCAGGTTGCGACATTACCGGATTTTAAATGGCATTTTAATTGGCGCCAGAGGTTGGATGCTCTCAATCCATCCGGATCCACCCGGAAACAAAACGCCGTTACGGAACGCTCTTTTTAGACAAAGCCGCGAAGTGACCGCATACTTATTTAAGAACATCACATCCAATTAGTTCTTGGATGGCGTATGATTGGTTGATTTGCCTTGGATTTGTTCCACAATACACACAGCCGATTTGAAAAAGTCAACCAAATTCAGATGATTGAAAATGTTTTGTAAATTTTTATAGTTGTATACCCTCGCCGACCATGGCCTTCCTTCTATTGTGTCAGTGGTTTATCTATGATGCTCTAAACCACATGGTTTAACTAGCCTCAACAAATAACGACCTCAAACATCAGACAGCCATGTACCTTGAACCGGAATTTCTAGTCCGACTTTCTGCTCGTTTGGATGCCAGAGATGGGTCGCGTCGCACCCTATCTACTCCATTTTCTACCCTGGACGTTGGTTGAAGCGAACGTGTACGGGCAGGTGTGGTAGTGCAATTGTTGCGACGTGTGACTCGTAAACCGGGCTTTTTAGAAGCGTCATTTTCTCCAATTACTGCGCTAGTTTGTATGCCGTTTCGACGTTGCAGCATCGTGAGCAGTCGGTGATTAATATTCGGTGTGTGCTCGGCTCCAGAAAGGAATCTGGCCACTTCACGGTCCTCATTGGAAGACTGTGAATAACGCACAGATTGAGTGTCCTTTGAGATTTCGTCACATTGGTTTTTGTTTTTGCAGCGAAGCTCCGCTTGCTGTGTAAGTGGATGGGGATAAGGAAACATTTATTCAACATAGGCAGTGTAACATTCTGAACTGTTAGACCATTTATTACACTACATCTACCAACTGGGGACATTTTGATGTACATAGGAGATTGAAAACAATGAATGGTAAAACCATATTACTGACAATCGTATATTTACTATAACACTGACAATTATTAACACTTTCAATGGCTAAGATCCTGCACAAACGCTGTGAAATGCTCCTACATCAGTTCGTTCGCTTCCTGTAAATTGGAAACGCAGCACAACCCGCTGGGGATCTGACTCTTTGATAACGAATTCCATGGGATCCACAGCACAATGTTTGGAAGGCAAACTAGAGTTATGTATTAAATCACCGCACAGTTGGACTCAAAGTTTAATTGCAAGTAAGCAGAGCCAAATCTTCGGACAGTTTCTAAGCAAAATGAATATTGGGATGAGACTTAAAGATGTACTACTGGTCTATTCAGAACCACGAACAAACACCATTTGTTCACAGTAGTAACTACAGACCGTTAAGCATAAAGTGAATATGGCTTTTGGCTGTAGACCACACCAATACATGACAACTATTCGAAAGTCAAAAGAACACGAGACCATAGTTGAACAATTGTTTTCGATGATTCTCTTCAGACCATTAAGGGTAAAATATCGAACTGAAATCGACTCATTTGGTAAAGTTACATAGTTAATTAACGGATCTGTGAGGGAGGCTAAAAGTTGACCATTGATCTGACAGGTAGACTGCATGTTATCGAGCTTGATCTGTGGCAATCGACCTCAGTATCGTTCGTTCTAGCAGGCCAGGGAAGCTGTAAGGCATGGAGCAACTTCTTTTGCGAGCATAATAGAGGTTGAAACAACCGAATGCAAATCTATTCAGCTGTCGCGAGCGCACGGAGGCGCGAATCTCTTGATTGATCATGGGGGACCCTGTAAATTATCCTGAAGGCACGCTTTAGATAGACTTTGTGCCCCGTGTCGAAAATATGGGCCAAAACGGCGCTGCTAATGTCCCCAGTTCCTCCTTGACGCAACTAGCGCAGGCATTGCTCCTTCACGCGTTTGGACAAGTGCCGTGCCGTTCGACCAATATAAGTAGCGTCACAAACGCACTTGAACTGATAAATATCCATAGATGAGGTCAGCAATGGCAGCGTATCCTTATTGCGTGAACTAACAAGTGGTTCATTAGAAAATGTGCACTTTAACCTGACTGCTGGGAATGTCGACTTGACTACCGCTGAAAGACTTTTGGTTAGGCGCTCGGCAGCGGCATCCCCCTTAAAAGGTATTCTTAAAAATAACTCCTTCGTCGCGGTTAAAACTGGTACCGCCTTAGGCTTTTCTTCAAATTCTTTGAAACAAATCTATCAGGGTAGCCATTCTGGCGCAGCGTATTCTTTATAAAGGCTAGTTCCTCATCCAGAGTGTCCTGTGAGCAAATCACGTGAATTTTCAAGTTGCTTAAACTATTTGAAAAGTGTCGTCATAAACCTAGTGTTGATCTCTTACCTGACTTGATTACTTTTTGCGTGGATCGATGGTTTCTAGTGACAAATAACTGCAGTTACATGCGAACGCCGGTCATGTTATCATGCGTTCTTCTTCATTAGGTTAAGGATCATAATTCAGTTTATTTTGCAGATTTCTGAACTTAGTGACTTTTAAAGCTAGGACTTGGCCAATCGCATTCAAAGTTTTGGTCTTGGAAGTCCTATTGCGTCCCTTTTGAAAAGGATTTGAACTGCACCCGGCCACATTTAGCCAGTAACCTTGAGACTTGAAAAACATCTACATAGCACGAATGCCCCATCAATATGATGGCTACAAATAACGCAACATAATTTCTTAGTACCTTCTTTCTTCCGTATACATGTTTTAACTAACAAAGCCATGCCAAAACTGCATTTTTCCACCGCTGGGCGCACCGAGTAAACCAACGGTGTATTAAAACTTACCAAACCTGAACATCATAGTTTAAATGTGTTTACTGGAATAACCAAGAAATTCTCCAATTTAATAACGGTTGGCTGTGATTAGGTTGGATAATTATCCATTGTGTATATATTTTTCAGATAGAGCCCCGCGACCTTAACCTGTGAACACATTCTCTTCAATTTTTCAACGCACATCACATCTGCAACTGATGTATAGTGTCCAAGCGGTTAATTGCGCTGTCTTGGAGCATTTATAAATAAAAGCAAGGACCGCTCTTTCTGCGCAACCGTACGCGCCTACCATCAAATGTACCTGCTGCACAAAACGAAATCAAACGATTTGCTTCGTCTATCATGCAATCCGGTAACAATGGCACACTCATGCAACCATCGTCTATAGGCACATGCCAACCGATGGAGGAAGCCGATGAGCTACTGTATCAATTCTTTCCGTTCAAGGATACATGTAAATCGATCCAAAGACAAACTAGATACCTGCCTTCCAATGAAGTAGTTGGAACCGAGTTATTGTCAAAACAAGGTTGCTTGATTTGATTGTTTACACATTTTTATGAAAAAGGATATGGTATGAAAACAAGGAACTATTACGGCTGGGGAATATTCCCGAACACAACGAAATATATGAGTTCCCTTGTGATATGTGTATCCAGTGATATAGGTACAGTCAGAAATACATTGCGAAATACTCGTGTGAGTGCTCACAAAATAGGTTGATCACATTCGTTTTAAAAATATGAAACAATGCATTTAACCCACTGAATAGTAAATCATTGCCAGCGGGCAATTTCAGTCCGATACAGTTTGATGAAATTTGGTTAAGACATTAGGATGTACCTTATGGGATTCTATTGTTTCATACCACACAATGCCTATACGACCTGGTTCTCGTGATTGAAGAAGCCATGCGTTGCCGGCGGAAAACTGGTATAAATAGTACGTCGTTGGATATTTCTGCCTGTATCATCTCTGCTTAACTTCGGTCATCCTCGCCTTCGGGTTGAGTCCTACAGTATAACTAGTGAATTATCACGGGAAAAGCAGGGGCTTATATAAGTCGGGGTTGGAGGCTGGACTGTAAACTACCAAATCGAAAGCTAAGTGGTTCATCTTTTTAAGCGTCCATCGAAAGCAATGCGTTGCTGTTTAGCGATAATGCACAATGCGAATTGAATGTAAGCATACAAGACCCCATAGGGGCAGCTATAGCCAACGTATGTTGTGTGAAAAACAAAAGCAGCTAGGCTCCTTCACGTACCGCCTTCTTTGGCCTCCATGATGCATAAACCCGCTACGCAATCATGCTTACTATATTCCACAGTAAACGTTTTTGGTAAGGAGGTGTTAGGAGCAAAGGACAACATCAGTCAGAATTATAGCACATCACCCATAAACTAAAGAATTTTCACGTCTGTTCGAATGTAAAGACCGGATTTACCCAGAAAGCCCAAACGATCTTCTTCCAAAAAGCTAGGTTTAACTATCATTGATATATGCTACCTATGAGTTAAACTTGGTCAGTGGAAGATTATATTTAAGGGAACTAGATTTGCACGGAATTGGATAATGGCGGAAATCACTTTGTCGACGAGTGATACTCTTAGCGAATAAGCAGCATTCGGAATTGTTGTTAAATTTTTGAAGGAACACCTTACTAGAAATTGTTTCCATCATAGCTTATGTTGAGGGCTTCAGATCAAAAGCATGATTGAGAATTGGTCAAGCAAGGCTAGGTTGAGTTTATATAAAGAATTAAACCATTTTGTCACTTTTCGTCTCTTTTTGTCACTAGATCATTTAGTAATTTACTGGTAGCTCGTGCCGCAACAATTATTATCAGTGAATAAAACTTTGATGAATTCGTTTCTCTCGGCAGCCGGGTAACAACAAAATCGAAACAGCGTATTGAAAGTTCAGCCCAGTGAGCTACCAGTAAGGTCGGGAATGCACTTTTCTGTTGATTGCCTTCGCACATTTAATTCTGTTTCGACTGGTGGCACAAAGCTGTCAATTTCATAAGTCTGCCACCCATATAACCCTGGGGGTTTCATTGGAACAATGTCCTTTATTAGGGCCGAGTGTGAGGTGTGATTTTGAAATTTAGATATATAATTTAGGGGACCTTTGCTGGCCATTACAATCCCTGATGTATTCCATGCAATGGGGAAGTTATCCAAATACAGCGAGATATTAATGACTAAAGCTTATGACTATGAGTGATGAATATCAGGGAACTTAGTCGTATATACACTGATGGCGTTTTGGAATTCAGACTTAAATTACGCACGAACGCTTTCATGAGTAAAATATATCCTTTGCAACTAAGTAAGAGCTCATCGCAAACACTGAACCGTTCAGCATGAGGCAATTTTTTCAGTCTTCCAATTTCGATCATAATTATTAGGTGTCTTTAATTAAGGACCCAAAGTGCGGTAATGTGTTTAACAGTCTGTTTTTCCGTCACAACATATCGAAACGCTCAGACATTAGAAAGTTAAAAGTAAAAAAGGGAATATCCCGCTATTTTAATTGGTAGATGTTTCCTACATCAACTTCGCTTGTGTCAGTAAGCATGGTGTGTTTTATGGGCCAATGTGAAAGCCTACAGCATTGAACCCTAACATGCGGAAGCTGATAACAAATTCCACTGCGTCGGTAGCATGATCCATTAGAGTAGATTAAGTTCATAAAATTGAAATCCCTTGTGTCATCTTTGGTACAATTTTGAATACTTTGTTTCTAATTTAGCTGTCAGCTTCTTAAGGAAAAAAGGATAGGAGAATTTGTTCCAACTGGAACGCAGTTTCTGTTGCGTCGTTACACGTAGGAAAGAAAAACCCTTATATAAAAACATTAACGGTCCCGTATTCTGTGTGGATATGGGATGACATTCTCGTAAATATCCATGTTCTGGAGGAGCTGAAGACAATGGTCTACTCGAAACCATCGCTTACGAAGCAAGTCCTGATCTACCACTCTAATGACCAAACAAACCACAGGTGCCTATGATTGGGAGTCCTCCTCAAACTGGTAGTAAACCTACTGCGGCACATAACATTTGGGAGAAAACAATCTGTTGCACCAACTTAAACGGAATTGGTACCCATGAACTGTGGTATCTAAAAGTTCAGCACAACCAGCATCCATCATCCTGATGAGCGTAAAGTACACGTATCTACTTTAACGCATAAATTTTTCCTAAATATCAGTAATTTCTACCCCCAAATGGAAGTAGCATTGCATGGGAATTAACGGAATCGATCCATTACTATCCCTTTAAGTGCAAGAACAGTCAAAGCAGATAAGATTCCTTAGAAGTCATTCACAAAACGAAGTGAAGGAACTGGACTGGAATACAGGAAAATAGCCTACCATTTCAGTTAAAATGCAACGTAAGTGTAAATAACTAAGGAGTATCAGCGTGATCTTAATTGGCTACCTAGTAGAAAAAGCAAAGGCCGTGGATACTTGAATTTATGGAATAGAAATTAGTTTTACAATTCATCCAATTGATCCTTGGGCCTAGATGATGGCAAAGAAGGAATGCGGAAACCGTATATAAGGAAAATAAACCACCTAGTCCAAGGAAAAACTTAACATTCTCGTCTACATATCGGGCAAAAGATATTCGCAAAATTGTTGCCACTAAGGTGACTTATCCTGGTATCTGCTAGTCGAGATCGGTACACAAAAAACAAAACAAAAATTATGTAATTACACCGTGGAAGCACTACACTGCTGTGGACCAATTCATGCAAGACCGTCCATATCTCAGTAAAAGATATGAATGCGTGCATAGAAGACCAAAGGCAAGAATGGTGTTTATCATTCCGACCAAATTGTAAGACAGCTGTTCATTACCTACTCTATATAATAACCCTTAACATGTTTTCGTTATATGCGCAAGTTCTGTCGATACGTAGCCAATTGTTACACAATATCACAAGGTTGTTTTACATCGTTAAAAGCGAGTGAGAGTGACCAGTGACGCTGGACTGAGGACATGGTTTTAAGATAAATAAGCCCGCTAATTAGGTGGTGCTCTGTTGCATATCGACGAAAGAAAACCACCTCACGTTAGCTTGATAATTCTCTCGGTTGTATTTACGAGCCTTCAGAGTAGAAAACTAAGCCAAACTACTAACAGATGAAAAACAATCAAATGTTAAGCGTGATTACCACATTGAATTTTATCATATAATTCTGGCAATCAAGCACACCACATGGTTCACTTCCCGCACAGGTATCACGAAGGTTGACTTATATGACAATCTGGTGTATTGCTATTGTTAGAACAGTGCCGTACATGTTCATGGTTTTACGCTGTCAACTATGTGGTAGAAAGGCAGATTTAGATCATCCTGCTCACTAAATTATGTGCTTTACGCAATGTTGGTAGCTGACAAGGGATCTCCCTCTTGCTCTCTACTACCCAATGAATTCAGTAAACCACTGGGCCAGCAGTTCAGTTCCAGGTATCACTGAACACTAAATAGAAACTGCGTAACTGGTTACTTATCTGACTGTAATTATAACCACTAATCTAATCGCTGCGGCGATAACTAAGGAAACGATTGAGTTTATGAGTCGTCTCAAAATTTCCGGTGATCGATAAAGACGGCGGCATAACAAGCTATCGGTCAGGGATAGATTACTTGTCATAAGTTCGAAGCCATTGTATGTCTTAGAATGACGGTTACCACACGCTGAATACCTGGGGTGAATTGCAGTCTCTGGAAATCGATATGTACACATAAGCACTAACATCGGCCCGCAGCGTTGAGTCAGTGGTGTTTGGGTTAAAAGTATATATTTGGTGATAATCCGTTTCCATTGGTCGGAGTACATTGTCATTGTTATGATGGTCCACGTGACTTCACTATTTTAAAGCTCGGCCGATAGCCAAATCTGCAACAATAGGCTAAGGATTTGCTGTTACTAGTATATGGCATCGTACATTATTTATAAATTAGCCATAGTCAGACGGTCACAGGTTTGTTCTTCTCAGTCCTCTCACTGAGGAAAATATCAGAACCTGAATAGTCGCGATAACAGTACAGCGTTGCGCTTACTTTCATTGTTTTCAAGTACTGGAATTTAACGTCAATCGATGTACTAGGAAATCTTTTGCTTTAGCAAATTTTATAATTTTTGTTACTCTGTTTACTATCTACTGTTATTAATTTTGTGTTTTTCGTGTCAAGGCGAGTGAGTTCATTGCAATTTAGTTCCTGGTTATAAAATGTATACCTGCACTAAACTTCATATAGCAGCAGTATTGTGACTTTAGTGCATTTACCCTTTGAATGTTTTTCAAGGACCATGAAGAACAAAATTGTCAAACGGGTTTTCATGTTAGGGAACAAAAGTGTAGAGTAGAATGAAGGTCCAATTACTTGAATGGCGTTCGTCCGATGGAGCAGAATTACAAGATGTAATATTAACTGAACACCATCTATCGACTAGTAGTGATAGAGTAGTTCATTCCATTCTAACAAGTTGAGTGAAATCTGTGGCTTGGGTATGGATACCAAACAGTGGCCTGGTGACTTGATCACTTTAAAATTTGTAAAACATCACATTCTATTTTTATAGTGTTTGCTTAGAACTCCTTGCATTTGGGCTCCAAAGCAACGGATAACACCGCGATGCTGTCCATACCGATGCCCTAAACACGTGCTGGCAAGCTGTTACGCTAAAAGATACTGTCACCGCGTTTAATGTGCATTCATTATAAGTTTCATAGTTAGAAATCAATTAATCAAATTCCGGCTTGTCACTCCGAGATAGTCAAACCGTATCACAAATAACAATATATCTATCTGATGTAGTCATGATGTAATTAAGCGCTATGTCGCACACAGCTACTGTTAGTGGACGTCTTCTCTTTCGGGGCCAACCCTCTCCTCTGCAACTTTCGTTACTTGTATGGCAGTGGAGGATAAGACGCGCTATATCGCAGTTAGCCTGTAAATCATGACGATCCGTAGCTGTCCCCCATGGCCCAGTGGCATAAGCTGCTGACTGGCGGTTCAAGCCGCTGGTGGTCATGGGTTCGAATCCGGACGGATCCGATTGATACGTACTACTGACGATGCCCAACAGACTGAAACTACAGTCTAGTGCTCTTCCGGGCATGTGGACGACTATCTGATTTAGAAACTGGCTGCGATGGATCTCACTAAATTATCTATCTGCTCTTGTGTTTCTTTTGAATGCCAAATCCGGCATATACTTACATATGAGTACAGTATCGGTTTTGTCATTATACACCAATTACGCGAATTTCATTTTACTGTACTGCAGGGACTGACCGCCATCAACTTGTGTGAGTTTGCACGTAACTTTTCCGGTTTTATTTCGTGGAATCCATTGGAGCACAGTTGATTGCTGTCATTCTGTGTACGGACTGCGTTGATGGAGCCGGGCTGGGGAGCGCTTGCCTGACGTTTCATCAAGACAGCAGGTAATTTTGGCCTGGAGTAAGCTCTCGAACCATTCTGTTTGGTAGATTCTCCTGACTGAGAACCTGATTTGAGAAAAACAGAAAGGGTATGGCCGGTTTACTCCCAAGTTGCAACAATGAGTAATAGATTAAAGTCCGCTGAAGGTGCCATGCTGCTTTTCTGCGATTAGCGGAACATTTGCTGCAATTCTGTCGATTGTAGCCGGATTCAGCATTCATTTTCGGCATGTCATTAAGCTTGCACGTTGGCCACTACCACCTACGGGTTCTGGTTGTCAGGATGATTTGTGACGCAACTGGTTAACTACTCGCTGGCTTTGTCCATGGGAACATCATGTCACTACTCAAACACCGCTTCCCTTATGAAAGCATATAAATTTTAGCTCACATGCTGGTACGTAGAGGTAAAAAGGAAGTGTCTCATTAAGTTAGTTTAAAAAATATCAAAAAGTGGATGTATATATGTGTGTCTGCATGAAGGAAACGATTTCCTGACTATATTTCGCGTCAAGATTATCTGGTATTGTTTTTTGTGTAGTATCCAAGCAATTATTACATGAGTTTACCAATTTGCGCAAATTTTTCTAGGGTTTTTTCATTTAGGTCCTTGATTTTTGTCTTCGGATCATCTTTAGAAGTCACGGGTTAATGACGCTGAAATAGTTTTACACGATATTCTGCACACTCTTCATCACTTTTCTAAACCGTTATGTTGATCTCTTTTTACAAATTATTCCCCTTATTAAGCTGAGTAAGTGTACTAATGTAGTTAGTGGTAGTAACCGGTGAAAAAGCACTTTAGCCCTACCACCTAGGTTAGAAGAAAACTCCAGGAAATAGATGTGCTAGTTTTAACCCCTTCCATGACCTGCATTTAAATAGTCCCAAAGAGGAATCGAAATACTGAAATCATTGTGAGATGAAGGCTGAAACTGCGACAGCATGATGCACAAGGAGATTGGGGAGTGACTAAATGGTTATAGATGAGGTGGCATGGATATTTTGTCGCATATCGCTACTGTGTGGAACAAAAGGATTTTCCGTCTGGCGAACTCTTCCTCCCTTGCTCAAACAGTAGCTAATCTAGTTCGACTGATGTTCACGAGCCCTAATGAGGCAGCGTGGGACTAAAACCTGCGTCAGCCTCGCATGATTAAAAGAGTTGAAAAGTAGGTGTCGTCTGGAAGCCCTGTACACCAGCGTTATTCACCTAAGAGTGCTGGGAACAGTGGGTTGTCTGTAAAGTGAACATGTCTGTAAAATGGCAGATATCGATATATTAAACAGTACGCAAGGACGTGCAAACGTTAGTCCCTTCAGTAGAAGACGCGCAGACTCTACGTAGCAGCAAATGCTGTTACTGTGATTGTACCGCACTGAGTGCACGGCAGTGGGTCATGTGGAGATCACAACCGCAAAATTCCCCTGTACTCAGAAGGAAAAATCTAAGTGACAGAAAAAATTACAAATTTGCACTTTAGTACACTTTCTCGTTGATGTCATAAAATGGTTAATTTCATGCGCTATTTCGTCTGCATGTGAATGTGTTATAGGGTGTTGGCCCAACAACGTAACTTCATCTGTCTATAATGGTAACTACTATTGAAATGCTCAACCTTATTAAGTAATTTTCCTGTTCTTGAAATATGCATAAAAGCAATCAACAAGCCATCGTTTTGCAGGGGCTTTCTAGCATTCACAAGGGCTTCAGTAGGACTCATATATACACAGTTCACTTGAGTGTGGTTGCTACAAGTTTCCACAATAATAATCCGAAAAAGAAGAGCGAACTCGAAGAGGACGCATGGAAACAGACAATAAGTTGTTTTCAAGGTGGAGATTTTCTTTAGCGTTTTACCAAACATCGGTCACCGAGGAAGTTAAATACCTTCACCCGAGATCTACCAATGAGTAGAGATGGACGGCAGGACTTTTAAGTTAGAAAAGAACCGTGGTGGCAGGTCGGTGAATGTGGAGTAATGAAAAGATAAGTTTAACCTACCGGCAAAATGAAATACCATGTTCAACGATAGTGCGCCGAACGACACGACTTTCTCAGATAAAGCAAATAACCTTGTCTGAAAATTTAGCTATTAAACCGTGTATCTGTGTAGATACATGGCATTGCGAACACTGAGGAAAGCGCCCAGAAAAGGTGCACGGTTATGCGAATCCTTATTAGTGTTTTAATGACAAGAATGGACTGTTCCGCTGTTACATCGAACACAGTGGGGCGGTCAACCTTCTACATCACAGCAAAAAACGGAATCAACTCATTTTTTCAGTTCGGTGTCTACAAGAATGACGGGAAAGACTCTAAAGGGTTAATTCGACCTTCGGCTGAGATAAGTCTTCCTTCACATTAGTTTCTGAACTACACTGGAAGAGTACTGTCACCAAAGTTGCTGTAATCCGGTCTATAGTCCGAGAAACACGAGTGTAAATTTGAAAGGCATTTTCAATGTATTGGGAGACTAGAGATGTACTATTAATGGAACAGTTCGGCAAAGGCATTGTTCTTTTCAAAGATTTATGATTGCTGAAGGTATGAACGAAAAAGGGAACGCCTTAAGGATAACACACCTAGGAAATTTAATAATTATAGTATTATGTCGTAGAAATAACCAAGGCTATAACGCGATCACAGTACAGACTGAAACAAGGAGTCGCCTGCTTGACACATACACTAGACAACGGTGAAATATTTGGCTCCCACTTTGCCGTCCCAAGTGTCTCTAATCTGAACCTGCTACTGCATGCTGGGACTTCTTGCCAACCTTTTTCATATGGCATGCCCAAATTTTAGGGAAGTAATTTGATAATCACAAGATCTTTCAAGTTGAATTCGGATAACATAACGATCGCTGTTGACTTAGAGGCATATCAGAAGGCTACTTTTGTTAATACTCTTAAATTATCCGCATGATTTAGCCATGTTCCGGGTCAATGGAAAATGCGATCACTATTACCCGTTTTAAATGTAGCCCCGAACAGCTATTCGGTACTTACCAACATATAATTCACTGAATCTCCTAACTGACACTTTCTGAAGAATGGGGAATAAATTGAACAGTGGATACTAAACAATGTATTCTGGGAGCAAGTGGAAGTTTAAACCTGTAAAATCAGCTCAAAATCGGTTAATTTATGATAAAAGGAACCTTCACCTACTTATAGTCCAATCATTTTTCAAATGCTTATAAAGCAGTTGGAAAAATCTTTGACCTACAATATCACTGGCAATACAAATATAATATATCATTCTCAAAATGAAATCGTTCACTGAATCGAATGTTGTGAAATGTTTGGAAATACAACACATATTTGGCCTCCTTCTGGTTCTGGCAGACTGGCCCAAATATTTACCACTCTCTATTCGTAGCACAAGGATAGGGGAAATTGCATCATATCCGGCAGTACAAGTTGTGTCGGTGTCCGCGTGTGCTGCAGTTGCTTCGTAAGTGAAGCAACTTCGTCAACATGGTGGACTCACCGAGATGTAATATGCTGGATGTCACGATGTGATCGACTCGCAACCGATGATAGTACAGTTTGCACAGTCCTAGTTTATCGCTCCTGTCTTCTTACGGCAATCCTCGTAAACAAGGATTGAGCATGCTTAAGACTTGTTGGGCCCATCCGATCTTGACTGCATCAATTCGAGTAATTACACAGTAGACAGGTAAGTCATAATCCAGAATTGGTCTTATGAGGGAATGGAAGAGGCGAGTGACAACTTCTTCAGACTAAGTATAGAAGCAGCGAAGGAGTGCATCTAGCATGCGCAGTCCTTTACGATATGGTCTGTTCACAGTGTCCACAGATAGTAAGTCGCAGAGCGACAGAACATCTACGTCATCTACGGAAGACGTGGAATCTTTTAAGGTGTAAATACTGCTGTCACCGGCCTTCTCCAGGCTCATGAATACCGACTTGGATGGGTTAATCGGGTAACGGACTTCTGCAGACCACATGTTGAGGCGTTTGCGCTTTTACTGAAGTAGGCAACAGTAGTTTGGATTGTTAAATACTCTTTCAAGCTTCAGATCGTCAGCAACATGGGCACAATAAACCAAGAAGTTGAGGTAGGTCGTTGATGTGGATCAGGACAAATCTGACCCGCAGTGCCGCGCCTCGTAGTACGCAATTATTAGTAGATATCAAGCAATTAAGTGGTCGCCGACCTGTACCCGTTATTTTTACCCGACGAAAAGCTACTACATCTATTGTTGCAGTGAGTCGCTAGCACTGCATGCTCTCAATTTGTGTAGGTGAACTTCACGGTTTACATTGTCCAACGCCTTACTGAAGTGCATGTAGATCATGTTGACGGAATTCCCCTGGTTCATTGACTACAACTATTGATGCTTCTTCACTGAATATATCTATCATCTGGGACAGTATAATAAATCGCAAACAGATTTCTTCGAGAAGTGATCCAGTGCAACCAATCAGTATCATTACTCTTTTCTCATCGCATACTCCAGTGATATTCAATCAAGTATGACGTTATATCAGATAGGAAAACGCATCCAACCATAAGTCTCAGAACATTGAACAATGTTTGTCTTTAGATCAACCACTGGGGTGGTTGAAATCACACCTGGGTTATCGCTTTTAGATAGTCACTCTAACGACTGATAAATATACTTACACTTAACCACTATCCGGCTTATCCATGGAAACAATTTCAACTGATCCATTTTCCCACCGATCAACGACATCATTTTAGTCAAGATGTACTTTTCATTCGGTGACGATGTTAGTATTGATTTTAAACCTCGAAGAAAGAAATTGTAAAACACGTCCTTGACAAGTCAAGAAGCCATCTGTTTCCACGAAAGTTAATGCGGTATTTGTTGCAAGTAAGTTTCTTCTACTAATGGAACAAATAGTGGAATAATGATGTATTAAGGAAAACAAGCGAGCTTAGCAAGTTTCTTGGGATGCAAATAATATAGAAAAGACAATCTGATGCTTAAATGAGCATCTTTTTGGTCGAATCACCATTGTTTTCGTAATGAGGCTTGTGTAAAACAACTGGCATGTTAACAAAATAGTAT